TTTTGTGTTGTTGTGCGGTTCGGGGTTCCGTGGTGTGGAGGGTGGTGGGGGTCTTAGGTGAGACAGGTCGCGGCGGCCTCGGTTTCTGCTTGTTCTTTTGCAGGGGGTTGCGTTGTTTCTGTTGATATGGTTGAAGGGGGGCCAGGTTCCTTGGGGAGTGGGGGGTCTTGTCGGTGCCCCCTATGTCCTCGCGCTCGGCGTGATCGGCGGCGCGTCGCTCGTTTCGAGGTTCTGCCCACGTTTCGCGGTCGTCGCTGTTGGCGCCTCGCGGTCGTTGTTTTTTCGGGGTTGGGGAAGGTGTGTTGCCAAGGGGGGACGGGTGTTGATATGTCGTGGGGCATTGCTGGCGAGGATGGTTGGGCGCGTCGGTCTTCGGGTTGTGGCAACCTGTGCTCTTGGTGTTGGGTGCGTCATCGCTAGTCTGGGGCTGCGTGTTGGGTGGGTCCCTTGTTGTGTTTTCGTGTCTTCGCAGGGGGGTGGGGGGATGTCGTTTGGCGGGGCGTTCTGTCGTTTGCTCTTCTTCGTCAAGCGCGTTCTCGGGTCTCGGTTCAAAAATTCTAGTTTTTTTCTAATTTTTTTTCTAATATTTAGGGCTAGTATGTAGTTTTAATTTTAGGGGTCTAATATGTCGTTCTAATTTCGGGGTTAGGGAGGGGGGAGAGGGTTGAAAAATTTTTCTGATATTGGGTTCTAATTTATTTTGCGGGGCTTTTTGAGGGGTGTTCTTGGGTGTCTAGGATTGTTCTAATCGATATTCTATTTGAATTCTAATTCTTCGAGGGTACAAAAAATGAAACAACTTGGCACCCCCCTAGTGCGGGGGGGTCAAGTTGTTTCTTTTTTTGCGCCCCCGAAGAATTAGAATTCAAGTTAGAATATCGATTAGAACAATTTTTAGAAGGCTCTGGAAAATATTAGAACGCGGATTAGCCTATGAAATTAGAGCAATTTTTTGAGCGATTTGGAGTGTGCACAGGTCCCATCCGGGCCTGGTGTAGTTGCCGGAGTCGGTGAGTGGCTCGCGAGGTTGGGGCTTGGGGTCGGCTCGCGGAACAGGACCACCCCAGGGCCGTTGGGCTGCCGCGATCGGCCTCCCCGGAGGGCGTGGCGCTGGCAGTGGTGTGTGTCTTTCGGGCAACCGCCTTGGGTTGGGGGTAGGTTATTCCTAGCCCCCTCTGGGGGTCTTTTGGCGGGGTTTGCGTCGGAGGTCTTGCTGCGGTTGGTGTGGTCGCGGCGGTTGGTCCCACCGCGGCCCCCGCGCCCGGTTTTCGTGGTGGGTGTTAGGATTTGGGGAAATTCTCGGCCGTCGGGTTAGGTCTCCTGTTCTGGTGGTGCTTGCAGGGTGGTCTGGTGTTGCCCGTGGGGTGTCGGCTCTCTGGATCATTGTAGGAAGGTGCGTGGAAGCTGGTGGGCCTTGTGGTGAATGTGGTGCGCGAGTCTCCACGAATTTCCAGGCGCCTGGCCTCGGGTTGTCTTTCTGTTGGTGTCGTGTTCGCATGTGTGTCGTCGGTCTTCAGCTTGTGCCGCGCAATCGGGGGCGGCCATCGTTCGCTCGCGTGGTCGGTGTCTGGTGTGGTGGCTGCTTGCAGGGTTTCTGTCGCATTGGTTTCGCCGTCGCGTCGCTTGTCTTGTTTTATATAAGAAGAAGCCTGGGCCTTTTCGCTTCGGTGGCCTTGAAAATTAGAAAAATTTTAGCAGGCTTTTAGTGACTTAGGTTGGCCAGCGTGGTCTGGCTGAATAAATTGCAGAAGTTGCTGCTAGTTAGTACTTGCAGTATGTCGCTACTTATTGCGTAATAAATGTAGTACACTGCGCAAGTATTTGGATGGATTCCAGGTAGTTTCCAGCTTGCGCAGGAATAAAGTTGTTCGCAAAAATATAAGAAATGTGTAGTCTTGAGCTGCCAGATTTGACAAATACTGGAGGGAGTTTTTATTTCTGTTAAGGAATCCCCACTGATGTGATTTTTTTCGCCGTGTACTCGCCCCCAGCGAAAAAAGAAAGAAGGACCTTCTTAATTTTTTTGGCTGGAGGCGCCTGCACAGCGAAAAAAAGCATATCGGTAGGAATTGATTTCGCCAAAATTTTAATTTGTTTTGGAGTAGGTGGGGAGAAAGATGCAAAGTCGTCAAGTTTGTTGCTTTTTTTTCTCCTCAGCACTGGCAAAAATTCCGCAGGGTGCCTGCTGGTTTCCAATTAAAAAGGTGCAAAAAAGTTCGCAAGTTGCTGCTTTTTTTTCTATTCAGCACTGGCAAAAAGTCGCAGGGTGCTGATTTCCAGTCAAAAAGATGCCAGAAAGTTGCTAAGTTGTTGTCTTTTTTTCTAGTCCGCACGGGTAAAGAATCTGCATGGTGCTGGTTTCAAGTTGGAAAGTCATCACAAAAGTCCTACGCTGTTGCTCTTTTTTCTAATCGGCACAGGTAACAAGTCCCAGGCTGCTGCTCTCAAGTCCCCTCGAAACCGATACCCGCATGAAAGTCGAAACCATTAAGGGAGGACATTTCGCGAATTCGAAACGGCTAAGGGACTCGCAAAACGGTCAACAACCTGGCAGGTTTTTTGCGAGAGCTTTCGCGGCTTTTCCATTCTCATACGCCCTGCCCTTTTTCCTACCTCTGCGCCGTCACGTTAAAGCGTATCGGCATCGTCGCCCA